ATAGAATCATAGGATATTACAGCACAGGAGACGGCAATTTGGCCCATTTATTATTATTCTTGTTATCGATTATTATAATAATTATCATGAATAAAAATCATTGCCTTTGATACAGCGCCTTATCACGTCTTCGAGAGATCTCAAAGCACAGGAGATTTTGTGACTTTTGTGGGCAAAACGCGGCGGCCGATTGCGGACAGTGTCCCACAAACAGGCGAGGATTGAGTGACCACGTTAGACCCCTCCCCTCGCATCCCACAGCCCCTGTAGCTCAGGGGTTAGACCCCTCGCCCCCCACCCCACAGCCCCTGTAGCTCAGGGGTCAGACCCCTCCCTCACACCCCACCCCACAGCCCCTGTAGCTCAGGGTTAGACCCCTCGCCCCCACACCCCCACAGCCCCTGTAGCTCAGGGGGTTAGACCCCTCGCCCCCCCTCGCACCCCACAGCCCCTGTAGCTCAGGGGTTAGACCCCTCGCCCCCCACCCCACAGCCCCTGTAGCTCAGGGGTTAGACCCCTTGGCTCGCAAGCGAGAGGACCCGGGTTCGATTCCCAGCCGGGCAGGTCAGGGCAAAACTTTGGGCAAGTTTCCTTACTCCCCCCCTCCCCACCCACACACCCACACACACACACACACGGAGACACACACCCCACACCCCCACCCCCACACACACACCCCCCCACACACACACACACATGCCTGTGTTTACCAGTAGGAACCCACTTGTTAGTCGATTGGCGGATGGCTTTTCTGTGAGTAGTAATCCCTTCAAAAGAATAAATAAATAATACCGTGGTCACTCAATCCGCGACTGTTCGTGGGGACGTCGCCGGGCGCAATCGGCTGCCGCGCACAAAACACGCAGTCACTACACTTTACGGTGTATCCCGCGAAGCGTTTTGAGACGTCTCGAAAACGTGATCAGGCGCTCGCGTCAAGAGTTGAGACAGAACCAATTTCTCTTACCTTTCCTCGTCTGCCTCTCTGATCATTTCACTTCCCCGGCCCCCCACCACACCCCCGGCACCCCCCCCCCCCCCAAAAAATAATAAAATTAATCAATAACGCAGGCGTAGATGGAGGAAAAACTTCGGAATCTTCTGAACTTTTTGGGGGAGGGGAGATCGACCGGGGGGAGAAGTCGCCCGGGACCCTATTCTGCGCGACGGGGGCTACCGAAGTCAACGTTGTCGCAGTTGTTGTAATCGCAGCGAAGCTTTTGAAGCGTGCGTGTGCGTGGGAAGCACGGCCGAGGTCCAGATTACGGCACCAAGGACGGGGACTACATTTATTTAATCCAGATGTGCTGTTCCTTTAATATAATGGAATATGTTGTGGATTTAGTGACAGCTCATTAATCACACGGAGTGACAAGCGAAGCAATTACCCGCTCCTCCCACACAAGGCAGAAATTCCTGAGGTTATTCCACCGGGTCTTAATGTCTGCCTGGACTTTGATCGCCCGCCTGTTGATCCTCGCGAATGTTTTTTCTTTCCTTTTTGGGGGTGGTGGGGGGGGGGTGGGGGAGGTCAGCCGGGTGTCTGACACGCACACGCACGCGGAAACCCGTCACCGTGACCGGTCGGGTGTCTGACACACACACACATGGACACCCGTCACCGTGACCGGTCGGGTGTCTGACACACACACACACGGACACCCGTCACCGTGACCGGTCGGGTGTCTGACACACACGGACACCCGTCACCGTGACCGGTCGGGTGTCTGACACACACGGACACCGTCACCGTGACCGGCCCGCGTGTCTGACACACACACACACGGACACCCGTCACCGTGACCAGCCGCGTGTCTGACACACACACACACGGACACCCGTCACCGTTTGCTTAAGAGTCTCCAAACCCGACTGAGAATTCCCCACATCGCCCCCACACCCGGGAACCCCAGAGATCGGTTGTCGGGATGGGATGCGCTCTCTCTCTCTCTCTCTCTGGAGGGACGCCCCCTGATTACCTAATTCCGGAGAGTATTAGGCGCAGGTTGGGCGAGTGGGGTGGGGGGGAGCCCAGAGTGTGCGTTGGGGGTAACCGCTGGGGTCTGACCGGCTAAACCCACACACACCTCGGCCATCGAGAGAGAGAGAGAGAGAGAGCGAGAGAGCGAGAGAGATCTTTCCCCCTTTCCCAGACGGGGAGGATGAGTCAGTAATATTCCCAATACAAGAATTATTATTATTATATTATTATTATCTGTTGCGTTTTCCTTGGTTGGTAAGAACTCAGTAATGAAACTTGCCTGAGGTTTCGCCCCCTGACCCTGACCCTGTGCCGCCCGGGAATCGAACCCGGGTCCTCTGGCTCGCGAGGGGGAGGGGGATGGGGGGTCGAAACCCCTGAGCTGCCGGGAATCCACTTACCGACTGCCGTGCGGATCTCTGCGAGGCTCCTCACGAGGGCCTGAGGGTCTCCGTGAGTCCTTGCTCCGAGGTTGGTTCCACCCACCCGCCTCCGCAGCCGGGCGAGGGGCGGCAGAGGTTCCCGGGGAGGACCGCTCTCCGCCTCACGTTCCCTGCGGAAAGAGGTTGCGCCGGCGGCCCCTGTCTGGTCACCGCCGGCTCCCCTCGACTCCCCCCTCCGGCCTCCTGCTCGGGCCCTCGTGGCCCCCCCTCTCCGCCGTCGCGCCCGGTGTGGATTGGCGGATGGCTCCCACGCAAACACCTCATCGCGACTTCCAGCCGTCCCAAAGCGCTGCCCCGGGACACGCTGTCGAGCGCCGGGAGCAGACTGTGGAGCGCGAAGTGCGGTGACTGTGTTGTCCTTCTCGCGGGCGAGAGGCGGCGGCCGATTGGGTGCACGCGCGCGTGTGTGCGCGTGTGCGCGGGGCGTACGTGCCCGCGTGTGCGTGTGTGTGCGTGTGGCGAGGGAGGAAACTTGCCCGATGTTTCGCCCCGACACGCCCGGCCAGGAATTCATCAGGAAGGGTTGCTCGGAGTTCACCGCTGCCGGGACCTCAACTCCTCACCCCGACCCTCCCAGTGGCTAATTGCCAGGGTTTGGCAGTAGCCCAGGCGTTTATCTGCCTCTGAAGTCGCTGAGCGCCGGTTCGAGCCTCTGCGAGTGCCGCCGGGTCTAATTGAGGGCTCCTTATGTGCAGAATACCATGACAGGAACACCCACTGTGTTGACATTAGCATTGCCAACCCAACCTTCAACCATTTATACAGCGTCTTATCTAATCCCATTCCCTGCTCTCTCTCTCCCCCTCTCTCCCCCTCTCTCTCGCGCTCTCTCTCTCTCTCCATCGTGTCTCCCCACCCCAACTGGAGCTCTCTCCTCTAACCCCCAATTCCCTGCTCTCTCTCTCTCTCTCTCTCTCTCTCTCTCTCTCCCCCCACCCTGTGCTCGCTCCCCCGCTTCCTACTCTAACCCCATTTGTATTGAATCCTGCAGCTCAGGGGGGTTAGACCCCTCGCCTCGCAAGCGAGAGGACCCGGGTTGGATTCCCGGGCGGGGTCAGGGTCAGGACGAAACCTTGGGCAAGTTTCCTTACCCCCCCCCCCACACACAGATACACACACACACACACGCACACCCACACACACGCGCCTGTGTCCCCGGCAGTCAGCAGGAACCCGCTCGTCAGGCGATCGGCCGATCGCTTTCCGGGGGTAATAATGCCTTCAAAAGAATAATAATAATAATAATAATAATTTGGTGGCTTCGACCCCACGGCTGTTTGTGGGGACGTCGCCGGGCGCGCTCGGCCGCCGCGTTCTGCCCGCAAAAGACGCGCGGTCCCCAATGTATACCCGGGAAGCGCTTTGAGACGTGATGAGGCGCCGTATCGAACGCGGGGATGATGGTGATGATTATTATTGTGTATTATTATGATTATTGGCATCGTACGGGGTGAAGCAGGGGAGAGGCAGACAAAGCAGAGACACACAGCTAAGGAACTCGCAAACCTACCGTGCTTTCAGCTCGAGGTGAAGGGGTTTCATCTTTCCACCTTGCCCTCCGAAGGCAGAAGTAATCCTCGAGAGAGAGAGAGAGAGAGAGGGGGAGAGAGAGAGAGAGAGAGAGAGAGATGCGAGTCAATAAAATGTCTGTCCAAAGGGTTAAGGAACGGGTTTGGATTGCAAGTGTCAGCGTCAGAATCCAGATCCCAATGTCTCGCTCTCCTTACGCCTCTCGGCTCTCCGTCTGGTGCGTTGGGGCTGTTGGCTGAATAGTTTCCCAAAAGTTGTCAGGTTTCTCGTGATTTATGGTCGCCCATTTCCTGTGCCTGTTGCTCTCGACGAGGGAGAGAGAGAGAGAGAGAGAGAGAGAGAGAGAGACGGAGAGAGCGCAGAGAGAGAGAGATTGAGAGGGTCCTTTCATTTGGCTTTTGAAGGAATTAATGACACGATAATAATAATGATTATCGTAATCTTGGCATTTGATACAGCGCCTTATCACGTCTTATCGAGACGTCTCGAAGCGCTTCACGGGACATAATGTAAAGTGTAGTGACTGTGTGTTTCGGGACTCTCTCCCCCACCCCTCCCGCATAGAGGCTGTGGATTATGGTTGTGGATCCATTCACATTGTCCAGACTCAGGGGGAGAGATGTTTGTGAGGTCCGGGTGTCAGGGGATATGGGGCCAAAGGGGGGTGATTGGACTTGAGGTACAGATCAGCCGTAGAATGGCAGAACAGGCTCGAGGGGCTGAATGGCCTCCTCCTGTTCCGATGTAGTGGTGAGAGCGCTCACCTCTAGCGAGAGCGAGAGGTCCCGGGTTTGATTCTCAGGCGGGTCAGGTCAGGGCGAAACATTGGGCAAGTTTCCTTACTGCCCCCCCACACACACACCGACACACACACCAACACACAGACACACACAGACACACACAGACACACACACAGAGACACACACACCTGTGTTTCCCGGCAGTCAGCAGGAACGCGCTTCGCAAAACGAAACGCACAGTCACTAGACTCGGCAGCGTGTCCCGTGAAGCGCTTTGAGACGCCTCGAAGACGCGATGAGGCGCCGGGTCAGACGCAGAGATTATTACTATTAATATTATTGTTATTACGATGACTGGAGGGGGCAGTAGAGTGTAGGACGCCCGAGGTATTTGGAGTGTAATAGAATGACTCGTTTCCCTTCCGGCAACTTGAACTGAACGTAGACACATTTTTTGGGGGTGGGGGTGTGGGGGGCAGGGTGGGGTGGGGGTGGGGTGTTAAGTTGTATGAAATAAACGGAGAAAAACAAACTTAATCTGAGAGTCCTGGGAAAAATTGGGTGGAAAGGGCCCCTCGAGGCTGATTTTTTTTTCCCCCAACGACGAAGCAAAAACAAATAGAGAATTTGGTAGAATTTTAGACAACGCAGGGAATTTCGAAGGGAGTTATTACTCCCCCCCCCCATGGAAAAGGCACTCTTACCCCAACTAAGCCTACTCCCCCGCTCTCTCCCCAACTAGGCCCACTCCCCCCGCTTTTACCCCAACTAGTCCCCAACTCCCCCGCTCTTACCACAACTAGTCCCCAACTCCCCCGCTCTTACCCCAACTAGTCCCCAACTCCCCCGCTCTTACCACAACTAGGCCCACTCCCTACGCTCTTACCCCAATTAGCCCCACTCCCCCCCTCTCTCCCCATAGCCCTGCAAACTTGTCCTCCCCAAATATCTCTCCACTTCTCTCTTGAAAGTTCCTATGGAGTCGGTTCCCACCGACTGCTCTCAGGCAATGGATTCCCAGATCCCAGCGACTTCTCTCCGTGAAATCTCCTCCGAACAGCAACGCATGACATTTACGCAGCGACCAACTTTCCCGTCGGGAGAGAGAGAGAGAGAGGGGGGGAGAGGGAGGGATAGAGAGAGGAAGGGAGAGAGGGGGAGAGAGGGAGGGGGAGAGAGAGAGAAGGAGAGTGGGAGGGAGGGAGGGAGGGGGATAGAGAGAGAGAGAGAGAGAGAGGGAGAGAGAGGGAGGGGGAGAGAGAGAGAGGGAGAGAGGGGGATACAGAGAGAGGGAGGGGGAGAGAGAGAGAGGGAGAGTGGGAGGACATCCCAAGGTGCTTGGACGTGAGCTGAACAGGAGTTGGAGTCTGGAGAGGGGGGGGGGGGGCAGAGGGCAGAGAGATGGGGTTGGGAGGGTGACCCCAACACGGTTGGTCAAAGAAGAGGGTCTTGGAAGGAGGGGAGGGAGGGAGAGGGAGGGAGGGAGGGAGGGAGAGAGAGGGAGGGAGAGGGAGTGACACATGGCCTCGGAACAGAAGGAACAGAAGCTGAAAGGGGTTTCCATTATTGTGTGTCTGACAGGACTTATATAACTGCTTTGGGTCTCGGATTTCGACGCTGCATTAGCCGAGTAACTCAATCCTCCGGACACACAAACAGAGAGGCAGATCGCAGGCCGTGTCGAGCTCCGTCAAACAGCAGCGAGAGGCGCCTTAACCCGTTCATGGCCGAGAACGAACCTCCTCGGGGAACGAGGGGACCCGGGTTCGATTCCCGGCCGGGCAGAAAAGCAGGGGGTGGGGGCGGGTGGGGGGGGGGGTGGTCAGGGTCGGGGCGAAAGCTTAGGCGAGTTTCCTCACTCTCCCCCCACACGCACACGCACACACGATCCCTTAGTAATTTGGTCGACCAACCCACGACTGGTCGTGGGGACGTCGCTGGGCGCAATTGGCTGCCCACAAAATACGCAGTCACTACACTGCACTGCACGGGAAGCGCTTCGAGAGACGTCTCAAAAAGAGAGGGGTGGGGGGAGGGAGGAAGGAAAGAAGGAAAGTTAAATCCTAATAATTTGGTCACCTCAATCCACGGCTGTTTGTGGGCGCAATCGGCTGCCGCGCGTCGCCCACAAAGCACACACAGTCACTACACTCGGCAGCGCGTCTCGCAAAGGGCTTTGAGACGTCTCGATGTGATAATGGAAGCATTATAAGGCGCTGTATGTAATGGAAGCATTATTATTATTATTATCACTATTATTATCACTATTATTACTATTATTATTAAGTGTAGTGACCGTATATTTTGTTCTGTCCAATCTGTACGATTCCTGGGAGAAAAATATGGGCGCGTCCAAAATCATCTTCGGGGCGGTTTGGGTTTGGATCTTATCTTGGGTCTGTTTTTGTCCGGAGGAACATGGTATCTCGTCCGTAAACAGGAAGGAGGGATTTTGACTGTAAACAGAGGCGTTCAATTTCCTCGGCCGCCCAGAACTCGCATCGATGGTTCAATCCAAGCGTTTCCCCCCAAAAGCCATCTCGCCCCACAACAGACGGCCCCTGGCGAGCGAGAGGACCCGGGTTTGACCCCCCACCCCCACCCCCGGTCAGCCAGAGACGTAATAAATCCTTAATTGGCAGCCAATTAGGTTTCAAACGGGGCTGGTTTTAAAGGGGGGGGTTGAGGGGGCAGAGAAGCCTTGGGGTGGGGGTGGGCGTGGGGTTGGGGGGGGGGGGTTCGTGTCCGCAGGTTTTGTTGGAAGGTGGCAGGGCAAAAGGAAGTTCTCCGAAAGCTTTCGCAGGTCAGCGGTTGGACCTCAGCTCCAGTGTTGTGGGCCAATTCCCGGGCAAAACACTTGAGGAAAGATGTCCAGGTCCTCGGAGAGAGGAGCAGAGGAGATTGACCGGGATGGTACCCGGGGGCTGAGGGACCTCCGTTAGGCGGAGACCACCAGAGAAACTAGGACTGTTCTCCCGAGAGCAGGAAACAGAAACACACTCGCTAGTAACCCCCGTCACTTCAAGCCACGACTGTTGGTGGGGGACGTCGCCGGGCGCAAGCGGCTGCCGCGTTTCTCCCGCAATAAAACGCGGTCACTGCGCTCGCCGGGGGGGCTATTTATCGAAGGGCTTTTGAGGCGTCTCGAAGGCGCGATAAGGCGCTGTGTCGAGTGCCAGAGCTATTGTTGTCGTCAGCGTTGTGTGTGTTTTTTTGTCGGGCAGGTTTCTCGGGAAACCGTGACAATTCTGCACAGAGCCGATCTCCGCAGCTCGGCCCGAGGGGGAGAGTTAATGCTCTCGAAACCTAAGACCGGTGGTGTACCCTCCCTCGCTCATCAGGACAAAGAGAAACTTGTTCACCAGAGCTTCAGGTAAGACACCCGTCACCTCCAAACTGACAACCGCCCTTCAGCCTCAAGGCAGAGACCGGGGAATAATACTCAACAGAATAATAATAATAATATTAATCCTTGCGTTATCATTATTATTATTATTATTATTATTATTAATGGGACACCAGCCCACATGAAGGGCGCTGTGTACATCCAAGTTGTTGTCGTGGTCTTCGAGCCGTCTCAAAGCGCTTCGCAGCACACAGCGTAAAGTGTGGTGCAGAAACGAAGTGTAGGGACCTCTCAGCGGAACAGGGGGTTGGGATAAGGGGGGGGTGGAGGGCAGGGAGGGTGGGGGGGTAGGAGGGTGACCGAAGGTGCGGTTGGTCGAAGAGGAGGGTCTTGAGAAGAGCCTTGAAGGAGGTGAGGGAGGGAGGGAGGGAGCGAGGCGGAGGGACTGTGGGGCGGGGTTCCAGAGGGTGGGGATAGAAGGCCTGGGATGGTGGGGTGGGGCCGGGTAGGGTTGGGGGGTTGGGGGAGGGGGGGGGGAGACTCAGAGCAAGCCGGAGCCCGCCGGGGAGAGAGATGGAACCATATTGGGTTAGGAGGAACACAACTTGGTGGTGGTCGCTCTTGAAACGTTGGAATGAGAGGCGATCAGAGGAATCGAGGGAGGGTTTTTGTTGGGTGTCACTGGTGGGCAATGCAAATCACCCCAGTTTGCCCCAAAAAGGGGTCCGGGGAAAATAGCTCTGTCTCTTTAAATATCCCTCATTGGATGAACTCAACGACTCTAGCAAAGCTTAGGCCAAACTTCGGTTGATCTCCCATGGTGTCAAGTTTCGGCCCTGACTGAATCTCCATGGTGAATAATTCAGAGTGGACTATCATTTTACCTTCTCCGAGAGAGAGCGAGAGAGAGAGCGAGAGAGCGAGACAGCGAGAGAGAGAAAGAGAGAGAGAGAGAGAGGGAGGTGGTGGTTGGTGGGGAAAGGAGACAAATGCACACAGTAACCCACGCACACTTACTAACAGAACTTCTCCGAGCTGACACGGACAGGACTTTGCGCGCGTGTGTGTGTGTGTGTGTGTGTGTATGTGCGTGCGTGTGTGTGTGTGTGTGCGCCCGCCCACGCGTGTGTGTGTGTGCGTGCGTGCGTGTGTGTGTGTGTGTGTGTGTGCTTTGTCCTACGTCGGAGTCAGGGACCTGGATCAATCCTGGGATAATTTGGTCGGAAGAAAGTCCTAGGGATTATCGGATCTCACCTCCGGACTGGAAACACGCACACGCACACGCACACACGCAAGGCACCGTGTGAGGTTTGGAACAGAACCCAACGCCATCCATCTAACCTGACTGTTCGCTGCTTGAGTTCAGAAGCGATTCCAAGGTCCTATTCAACCCCCAACCACCCTCCTCCCCGGGGCTATTTTTGGCAGTTGGGAAGACCCAGCCTCGCTCCATTACGACCCAAAGTTTCAGCTGCGTCGACCTTTTCTTTCCCCCCTCCACCGCCCCCACCCCCGGGTCTCGGCTTCAAGATAATTCTCGGGAAATAATCGGCCCCTTTTTTTTTTGTGGTGTCTCTCAATCCATGACCTCGTCTGAAACCTCCTCTTCAGCATCGTTTTCTTCCAGGGAATATTTCCTGGATCTCAGGGTCGACGACGTCAACGGCAAGAACGCCGGCCACGTGGGCGCGGGTGTGTGGAACGGCCTTCCCGCCGCACGGCGCGTCGGAGGGCTTAAGAGCGCCCGGAATCGTCGCTTGAAGACCGTTCCCCGCTCGTGCCTTCGCTCGGTCTTTGCCTCAAGAGCTTCCTGAGTCGGGTTGGCTTCTTCCAGGACCTCCTCGAGATCCAGATCCTCCGGAGAATCGATGGTCCGTTCGCTCGCTTGAGGATCGAGAAGAGAAGAGAATAATAATAATAATAATAACCACCAAGACGTCTCGAAGCGCTTCACGGGACACGCTGTCGAGTGTAGTGACTGTGTGTTTTGGGAACCAAACTCGATCGCGCCCAGCGACGTCCCCACAAACAGCCGCGGGGTTGAAGCCACCGATTTATTATTGTTTTGAAGGGATTATTACCCCCGGAAAGTGATCCCCCAATCGCCTGACAAGCGGGTTCCTACTGACCGCCGGGGAACACAGGCGTGTGTGCGTGCGTGTGCGTGTGTGTGCGTGTGTGTGAGCGCGTGTGTGGGGAGTAAGGAAACTTGCCCAAAGTTTCTCCCTGACCCCGACCCGGCCGGGAATCGAACCCGGGTCCTCTCTGGCTCCACGCGGGTGGGGGGGGGTGGGGTGGGGGGGGGCGCGAGGGCTCCAACTCGAGGAGATGTCCATGTTGCCCGCCTTCGGGTTCACCCAGGAGCAAGTGGCTTGCGTGTGCGAGGTCCTGCAACAGGGAGGCAACATCGACAGGCTGGGGCGCTTCCTGTGGTCTCTGCCGGCCTGCGACCACCTCCACAAGAACGAGAGCGTGCTGAAGGCCAAGGCCGTGGTGGCCTTCCATCGCGGGAGCTTCCGCGAGCTCTACAAGATCCTGGAAGGGCATCAGTTCCTGCCCCACAACCACCCCAAGCTGCAGCAGCTGTGGCTCAAGGCCCACTACTCCGAGGCGGAGAAGCTGCGAGGGCGCCCCCTGGGGGCCGTGGGCAAGTACCGAGTGCGGAGGAAGTTCCCCCTGCCCAGGACCATCTGGGACGGGGACGAGACCAGCTACTGCTTCAAGGAGAAGTCGCGCAGCGTCCTGAGGGAGTGGTACAACCACAACCCGTACCCCTCGCCCTGCGAGAAGCGGGAGCTGGCCGAAGCCACCGGGTTGACCACCACTCAGGTCAGCAACTGGTTCAAGAACAGGCGTCAACGAGACCGGGCGTCGGAGACCAAGGAGCGATACGGGTGAGTGGTTTGTTGTTGGTAATGTTTCGTCAATGGTCGTTGGTGTTAATGATAATAATAATAATAACAATTCGTTGCATTCGATACAGCGCCTCATCACGTCTTCGAGACGCCTCAAAGCACTTCACGGCGCACACCGTCAAGCGTAGTGACTGTGTGTTTTGTGCGCGCGTGTGTGTGGGGGTGTGGCGGTGGGGCGAGGGGGGCCGGGGGTGGGTGGTGGGGTGGGGGAGTACGGAAACTCGCCCAGTGTTTCGCCCTGACCTGCCCCGGGTCTTCTGGCTCGCAAGGCGAGGGGTCGGTGGGCGAAACGCGGCAGCTGATCGCGCCCAGCGACGTCCCCACAAACAGTTGGGACATTGTCTACAGATCTACTCTGGTCTGACCTGAGATACTTCACAGTTTATTCAGACCCCAAAGAAATCCCGTTAACTAATTATTAGTATTATTATATTTTGCTTATTATTATTGTTATTATTATTATTATTATTATAATCCGGCTCCATTGGCTCCCCGTCCCCCCACGGGATACAGTTCTAGATCCTGGTCCTCGCCTTCAAAGCCCCCCCCATGGCCTCGCTCCCCCCTCTCTAACTCGGTGACCTCCTATCCCCCTCATCAACCCGTCTGCTCCCTTTCTCTCTCCCTCACCCCCAAATGGCTCTGGGTTATGGCTGTGGATCCATTCAGGTTGACCAGACTGAGGTGGGCAGATGTTTGTGAGGTCAGGGTGTCAAGGGATATGGGGCAAAGGCGTGTAATTGGACTTGAGGCACAGATCAGTCATGAGGAACAGGCTCAAGGGGCTGAATGGCCTCCTCCTGTTCCTACGTTTCTATCCTTGACTGTCCAGCGCCTTGGGCTGTCCTCCCGACGTGAAAGGTAGTCTCTGTGCGAACATAATGTGTTGATGTTGGATTTTAACTCAATTTCTCTCTCTCCCTCCCTCTCTCTCCCTTTCTCTCTCTCTTTCTCGCTTCAAGGGAAGGCAACGAGAGGGTCCTCTCGAACCCGGGACCACCCTTTGCGGGCGAGGGGGCCTGCGGGTCAGTCAACAACTCCGCCAGGTTCCCCCCCAATTCAGAAGATGACGAGACCCCTTCCAGAGCCTCTTCCTCCAGTCCTGGCGGTGGGATGATGGTGGTCGCTGGGCCTTTCGAGCCTGGCTCCCTCCAGAGCCTGGTCAACGGATGTAACGGCGGAGGAGTTGGGTTCGAAAGCGTCAACGTGGAACACCAGTACCCCATACACGACCCCATCCTCAACCCAGCCTCACCCAACCTTCTCCAACTGGGCTCCTAGACCAAAGAGAGGGTGACTTTGCCGGGGGAAGACATTTTGGACTGGGAGAGAGGGAGAGAGTGAGAGGGAGAGAGAGAGAGAGGGGGAAAGTGAGAGACAGAGAGACAGAGACTTGCCTCAACGAATGGTAGTTCCTCTGGAAGCGTTATTTTCCTCCCACAATCCCAATCGAGGTCTTTCTGTCTCTTCAGACTGACCCGGGTTAAGAGATTCCTCGTCGAAAGAAGACCGAGGTCCTCCCGTTTCGCCTTCCCACCATCCTGGCAGTCGCCTGACATGTCCTGCCCCCCCCCCCCAAACTATACACTGTATCTCTCCCCAGATATTATTTTCTAGCGGAAATCGATCTCATTTGTTCTTGGAACAAACAAGATGTCTGTCTGTCTGTCCGTCCGTCTGTCTGTCTCCCTCTGTTCTGTTCCGTATACGTTTACTACTCCTCTGGTTCTCTACACAACGAATGGTGGTGGGTGGGTGAGTGGGAGGTGGGGGGTGGGGGGGGGGTGTTGAGAGGACGGGAAAATGGTGGTGGGCTTTGCCTGGTAGGTCTCAGCTTGGGGGAGTGTAACTGGACCTGAATTGGGGGGTAAATGTGAGGTCTGCCACTAGCTATTCTCCCCTCTCCCCTCACCCCCACCCCCACCCTATTTAACAATAACAATAATAATCCTTGCCTTTGACCCGGCGCCTCATTGCGTCTCGAAGGGCTTCACCGCGCACGCTGTCAAGTGTAGTGACTGCGTGTGTCTTGTGGGCCCAACGCGGCAGCCGACCGCGCCCAGTGACGTCCCCACAAACAGCCGTGGGTTGAGCGACCAATTTATTGTTATTCTGTTATTTTGTGAATGTTTTTCGGGAGGGAATATTACTCCCCCCCCCCCAACCCCCGGCCCCCTCGCCCCCAAGTAATATTCCACAGCCCATCACACTCCAAACAGAAACCCTCAGACTCTCTTGTTCATCCCACTTTGGGTCTGTAATTTGGGGGTGGGGGTGGGGGGGGTATGAGGGGGTGGGGGAGCGGTGGGGAGGGGGTGGGGGGGGCTGTTCTCTCAGGGACTGGCAATTAGCAATCCCCATCTTCCCCCGTCTCGCGTATCAGCTGACGTTTGGTTAAAAAACACACGGTCTGTAATAAAGGTGTTTGTTTAACTGCACAAAGGTGTTTGGGCCCCAGGTTTCTGAGCGAGTGGTCAATAGTAATATTAATCGTAATAATAATAATAATAACAACACGTCTCATGGGATGCACCATAAAGTGTAGTGACTGTGTGTGTTTTGCGGGCGAAACGCGGCAGCCGATCGTTGGGGGAGCACCGGCGCGTGTGCGTGTGTCCAACTTTTCGCCCTGACCCGGCCCGGCCGGCGATCGAACCCGGGTCCTCTGGCTCGCGGGGGCGAGGGGTCTAACCCCCTGAGCTACAGGGACCCCACATGGCTATTGCATCAGATTGACCTGCGAGGGCGTCTGTTCTGCTTTCCAGACCCAGAGAGAGAGTGTTGGTCACAGGCTGTTAATGCAGTGACTACACAACCGCTGAGGTTCGTGTTACAGGAACAAGCCATCAATCTGCTGTCGGGCTGAGCGCACGGTTGGAATTGTGTTACGGGTTTGCCTTCTGCGCAGAAAGACCGGCTTTGAGGTTGATTAATGAGGTGTGTGTGAGGGGGAGGGCGGGGGGAGAGAGGGGGTGGGGGGGGGGCAGGGGAGGGGGTGGTGGGAGGAGAGGAGGAAATGGATCCGTGAGCGTAAACCGTTCCGTCAGAAAGTGGCTTTGTTCTGAGCGAGAACCGGTGTCCGTCTCGGACTTTGAGGGGTATTTTATTGGGGGTGAAGGATTGGTGTGTGTGTGTGTTGGGGGGGGGGGGAGTAAGCGTGTGCGTGTGTGTGTGTGTGGCGGGGGGGTGGGGGGGTGGGAGGAGGGGGGAGTGAGGTGCCCAATGTTTCGCTCTGACCTGACCCGCCCGGGAATCAAACCCGGGTCCTCACTTTTGCGAGGCGAGGGGTCTAACCCCTGAGCTACAGGGACTTATAAAAAGCCCCCCCTCTCCCCCCCCCTCACCCTCTCTCCCTTTCTCTCTCACTCCCCACCCCCCCCCTCTCTTTCTCTCTCTCTCCCCTCCCATCTCTCTCTCTCTCTCCCCCTCTCCCCCACTCCCCGCTCTCTCTCTCTCTCTCTCTCGCCTGCCCTTCTCTCGCCCCCTCCCCCTCTCGCTCCCCCCCCCCCCCCCCCCCCCACCCCTCTCTCTCCTCCCAAGGGATGGACGCGTTATATGGCTTTCAGTCAGGGCAGGTAACCTTATCCCATTGATTCATCTGCGCTCCTCAGTAACCATCTCTGGACGAGGTGGAACATGAGCTGCGGCTTTGTCCTCGGGTTGCGTGGGAAACCAGGTGTCCTCTACCCTTTCAGCAAAGGCTAGTGTTTCCATCAACCGGTTTGCCCCCCCACACTCTCCCCCCTCCCCCAACCCCCCACCTGCCTCTTCCCCCCCCCTCCCACCACCGTGTGCGTGTGCGTCTGCGCGTGTGTGTGTGTGTGTGCAGTTATTGCCTAAGGTTATCAGGGGGTTTACTGGGCGACCGCAATAATAATAATAATAATATATAATAATCCTCGCGTCGGACACGGGCGGGGGCTGATCGCGTCTCAAAGCGCTTCCCGGGCGACACCGTCGAGTGTAGTGACTGTGCAGACCCAATGACCATTCGAGGACGCGGGAGGCAGCACGTTGCGACGACTTTATTTCGAGACTTCGGAGCACACGGGTTTAAGAGCTTAAGAGCCTTCGGGATGACGGGCGATTCTCGGAGGTCGGGACCCCGAACGATCCGAGAGGTTCAGGGGTTGTTTTCGTTTGGGGTGGGATGGGGTTGGGGGGGGGAGGCCATTAGGCCGTGATTAGCCTGATGACATCATCATTCCGGGCCACGCTCTCGCATGCGGGTAGGATATATGGAGCCCAGAGGGCGACCCGGGCTTGATGATGTCATCACCGGGCGACCCCGGGGAAAAGGCGGCCATTTTTGAAGCCGCTTCGAAGAGGAACCGTTCCCAAACCCGAGCGCGTCCGTCCCCAGACCGGCCCAGCGATGCCTCCTCGGTCCGCGCTCGCTCAGGCGCGTAGGCGCGCAGCCCGGGCACGTCCCCGCGCGAACGCCGTCTTTTTTTCTGTCTCTCTAACCGCCTCAGGCGGTCCAAGGTTTGTGTGAGAAGGGTCCGATCGGTCGAATTGGGGGGTCTTTTTTTTTTGGTGGGCGGCGGTGGGGGTTTTCGGGGGTCGGCGGCCGTCGAGGGCGAGCGATCGCGGAGGAGAGCGACGCGGAGCAAAGTGACTGCGAGCCGGGCGCACGGGGGCGGGGGAAGGTGTTGGGTGGGGGCGGCGAAGGGGAAGGGGGACGGGACGTGGGCGAAAGCCATTCAACTTGTACGTTTGTATGTTAATAATCTTTTCGTTTGATATAATAATAATGATAATAATGCTTATATTCGACACAGCTCCTCATCGCGTCTTCGCGACGCCTCAACGACGTCTCCCGGGAAACACTGTCAAGCGTAGTGACTGTGTGTCGCGCGCGGGGGCGAAACGCGGCGGCAACGTCCCGCAGAAACAGCCGTGGCTTGAGCGGGCGAACACGTTATCATTATTATTACGATTTTGATTTGATTTGATGAACGTCAAAACGGGACACAAGGCCTTCGCTCGTGTCTGAGAAGCTTCTGGCAACACCGGCGCAGAAGCCCTGAGGTGTCTTAGTTGCGATCACTTACTCAACGGTGTACTTTTTTGATCGCTTAACTGGCGAAAAAGACAAAAAGCAAGAGTTTTTAGGCAGCCAATTCCCCCCTCTCGTCCCTCTCCCTGAACACGGATTCATTTTGGCATTGGTTAACAGGCTTGAGGGGCTGAATGGCCTCCTCCTGTTCCTGTGGGAGAGGATGGGAGGTGGTTACATGATGTCCCTTCCAAAGGGGATTCAAGTGAAGGATTTTTTTGGAATTTTTTTTGGTCTTTCTTTGTCCTTTTTTTGGTCCTGGTTCCAAAAAAAAAAAAAATTCATTGCGGTTATAAATTGCGGTACAAAGCGACTGAAAGCAGATCAGAAACACTCGATCGTAGAAAACATCTTGAAGAAAAAAAAATACAAAAATATAATGCTTTTTTGGGGGGGGGAAAGGCGGGGCCTTTGGGGGTTTGGGGGATAAAGGGAGGGAGGACATTTTCAGAGTCAGGGTTGGGGTTAGAGTTGGGCTCATGGTTAGGGGGTAAGGGTGAGGGTTTGAGCTAAGGGTCAAGGTTAGGGTTGGAGTCAGAATTAGGGCTAGAGTTTGACTTTAGGGTTAGGGTCAGGGTTTGGGGTTAGGGGTTAGAGTTTGGGGCAAGGTTAGGGGTTAGGGTTAGAGTTAGGATCAGGGTTAGGGGTTAGTGGTTGGGGTCAGGATTAGGGTTAGGGTGTTGGGGTTGAATCTTTTCTCGCGCTGGAGGGTGGGGGAGAAGGGGGGGAAATGGAGAGATGGGGGTCTCGCGGGTTCTCGCTCTCACCCCTGGAACTCGCTGTCACTGGAGACGGATATGGTGGAGACCCCGCTTTGGGGGGCTTCGCTGGTGGGTGGTCTTCCCGGGGGGAGGGGGGCACCGATGTGAGGGGCTCTGGCCACTTGTCTTGCTGCAGTCTGGGGAGAGAGAGAGAGGGTGAGAGAGGGAGAGAGAGAGAGAGATGGAGAGAGAAAGCGTGGGGGGGGGGGGGTGGTGTGGGGGGGGGGGTGTGGTGGGGGGGGCGGAGTGGGTGTGGGACCATTATTCCCCGTGAAACACAAGGAATCATTTTCACAATCTCCCACTGTTCACTTGGATCGAGAAACTAAACCTCTTGAGATGAATCCGTTTGAGGGGCCGTTGTTTGCGTGAGGATCGGTTGCCTCCTGGTGGCTCAATCGGGCAAGTCCCTGTAGCCCAGGGGTTCGATCCCCGGCCGGGTCAGAGTCAGGGGGAGACGTGGGGCAAGTTTTCCTGCTCCCCCCCCCCCCCCCCCCACACACACGCGCCTGTGTTTCCCGGCAGTCAGTAGGAACCCGCATCGTGGGATCACTTTCCGGGGCTAATAATCCCTTCAAAATAATAATAATAATAATAACAATAATTTGCTCAACTCAATCCACCGCTGTCTGTGGGGAGATCGCTGGGCGCCATTGGCCGCCGCGCTTCGCCCACGAAACGCACAGTCACTCCGCTTGACAGCGTGTCCCCTGAAGCGCTTTGAG